CAGAAAGAAAGTGTGACATGTGTCTACGCCCCCCACATGCTGGGTGTCATGCATTGGCTGCAAAACAACCCAACAGAGCATGTTGCTCTGATCCTCGTGCGCAAAGGCAGCTGTAGCGTGTTTCAACCACTGGAAAATGCAGTTAGGCCAAGATTTTCAAGAGAGATTGACAGTGGGAACGCCTGAGTCAGTGCAAGGAGACACCTTCCACGAACTATTTTCTTACCAATTCAGAAGCGAAACCCGGATGAGTGGAAGCCGCATGGACACTCGTGCCATGTCGGCCGGAGAGTGGTCGGCCTCACCAGAGCCAGCCACGAGCTCGTGGTGTTTTGTGAATGGCTCTGGCCATCTGCCCATGAAGATACCGAAAAATTCTAGAACCCCTTCACAAACAACCAGTCGGTCTATGATCAACAAGACTGCAATCGTCTTCTTCAAGCCCTTCACATTTTGCTGGCTCCTCGAATCCCGCCGGTGAACCCTATCTTGCCAAGCCCCTGGCTGGCTTAAAACGTTTGGCCAGTTTTGGTGCTTGGGGGGGGGGGGTGGTGCACGACTGGTGCAAACCTGGTGTCTGGCCATTTTTTGTGCATCGACTAGCTGGTGTTGGAAAACCTCTTTTTTGGTGTCAAATTTCAATTTTTTGGTGAAAAGTTGGTGCTGAAAATCCATTTTTTGGGGTTCAGAAGGCATTTTTTGGGGTTCGGAAACTTTGATGAAACTTCTTGAGGGTTTCCATGAAGTTGCCAGGGAATCATGGAGGTGGTGAAGTCAACGATGTGTGTGTTTTTATTTCCCCCCCTTGCACCAAAACTGGCCAAAGTTTTAAAGCCAATCAGGGGATATCTAAACAGATTATTGTTTTTCAGACCGTCTTAGGTTTCGTGTTATCATCAATATTCACATAACAACTTTACACACAGGCTCAAGGACGAAAAAATGATAGGCACCGTGTAAGTGCCCTCTGCCATGTTTGACATGGCTTTGAGTGGGCTTTACCAACATGGCAATGCATTTCCGCTTTTCGAAAAATAAAAAACCATCCCAATGCTCACCAAAGGCGTCACATAGCGGTAAAAATCACCAGAAATCATTCCACCCTTCAAAATCCCTCCAAACCCCTCCAAATCTTTCCAAACCCTCCAAATCCCCAAAAATCTTCCCCCATCTTTCCAAATCACCAAAAATCACCAGAAACTTTCCCAAAACCCAAACCCCCGCCCCAGCCACCCCAAAACCACCCCCCGAACCCACCCGAACACCCCCAAACTGGCCCCCACCCGCCCCAAACCCACCAAAACACTTCCCAAATCCTAAGAAATAATCCAATTCGGCAAATTTCGGGCCAAAATCTGACACCGCTTTCGGCAAATTTCAGCACCGCTTTCGGCAAATTCGGAACCAGTCGGGAACCAGTCGGGAACCAGTCGGGAACCAGTCGGGAAAATCCGTGCACCGCCCCAAAAGGCACAAAAATGCTGGTTTTTGCAGGGATTTGGCACTTTTTTGGTCGATGTTTGGCAAAAACCCTGCAAAAAGTGCCAAATTCGACCAAAAAAGTGCCAAATCCCTGCAAAAACAAACATTTTTGTGCCTTTTGGGGCGGTGCACGGATTTTCCCGACTGGTTCCCGACTGGTTCCCGACTGGTTCCCGACTGGTTCCGAATTTGCCGAAAGCGGTGTCAGATTTCAATTTTTTGGGTGTCAAAAAAACGCGCTGTTTCGGGCTGAAACCGGCTGAAACCAGACCAAACCCTTCCCAATCTCTAGGCTTTTTGGTAATTTTCCCGTTGGATTGACACTTCGAAAGGGGTTAAAAAGCGCGCCCTTTTTGCGCCCAAAAAGGATCCCAAAAACAGAGAAAAAGGGCGCGACCTAAAATCCCAAACCAAACAGAAAATTACCTGCGCTCTCATCTGTTGAAGATTCCGCTTCCGAGAGCGCGGATTCTGATGATAGTTCTGTGCCATTGAGTCAACAGATTTTGTTGGGCCAGTTGGGTCACAGGTTTTGTTTCCAATTTCAAGCTTCCGAAAGCCCGGCAGTTTCACTTGACAGTTTCACGGTTTCACAGCATGTTCTGGATCCGGGTAGAATGTGGTCATGTTGGGCCAGAGCGAAAGGGTTGCGGCTGTGTTCCCACAAGGGGGTGTTCCTTGTTGTAAACTGTTAAAACATTGTAGTTCAAGTTGTAGCAATAGAACATTGCAGTAGATAATGGTGGCTGCAATTTGGTTCCTCCTGAGCATTGACTTCCCATATGTTGGGACTGGTTGGTTGGTTTTTGACATCCTCCACCCCCCCAGAATTTTGACACCGTTTTTAACACCACAAAAAGGCGTTTTTAACACCACAAAAGGGATTATCAAACACCAGGCCCAAACACCAATTTTTTGATTTTGAACACCACATTTTTCCCACATTTTTTTTTTCCAGCACCACTTTTTCATTTTCCAGCACCTTCCGTGCACCGCCCCCCCCCCCAGAGCCCACGTTTTAAGCCAGCTACGGGCTGGCCAAACCCTATCTTCCATCTGTGGTCGCGGACACTGCATTTCGCCTGTGGAATTCATGTGCTCACCTCAGCAATGGTTGAGGCAATGGAGATCAATGACTTGGCAACCGCCAAGACGTGAGTTGCCAGGCAGGTCCGACGGTCAAAAGCAAATATAAATGAGCAATAAAACAAAGACATTGCGTCGGATCACTGTCAAGAAGAATGAAACATTGCCACATCCGGATGTTGAAGACATGTGTTTCAAAGAAAAATAATGTATACATGAATACTCTCCAAATCAAACTCCATGAAACTAATTACTGACCCTATAGCTGCGCTGAGTCAGGACTACCTGAACCATTACCACAAGATTCCGCTGCAATCGCTGTGGTTCTTGGTGCCCATGCCGCCCTTTGTAAACATCGGCAAAGAAGCAATGTTCGTGCCCTTGAACTTCGTGCTGCCCCCCAGTGACGTGGAAAGCAGTGTGATGACGTTGATGCAGACAGTGTTCACCAAGGCTGCAGCGCAAATGGGTGACATCCTCTATGAAACGACTCATCACAAGCTGCTGCAAGAAGAATGGGTGGTGCCGCGTATTATTGTCAAGCCTGCAGAAGTGTTCGAGCCGCTCACATTTTGCAAATCATGGAAGGTACTAGGCTTTTGAAAGCCTGTCATGGAATGGGTACGAAGGGCCAGCGCGATGATGTGGGATCGTTGGTGGTGACAGCAAAAAATCCTCAGATCCCTTCCGCCTTTCTGAAAACTTTGCTGGACATTTGTCCCACTGGTGTCATCGAGTGCTTGGTTCAAACCAATGGCTTTGATCCACATCTGAGACTGAGTGCTTTGAACCAAAATTTGACAAGCTGGGAACAAGTAGACAGCGGAATGTGGCAAGCTCACATCTGCCCATAGGAAAAGCAATGCTGCCTTGTGCAGAAAAAAATTGACCGCTGTGACATCGCTAGTTTCCATGCCGCTGTTTCACGCAATCCTGTCCAACACAAGGAGACAATACAAAACATCGAAAAATCAGTGCCAGCAATTGCTTTTGTGACGCCTGAAGAGGGACCTGCAGGCACTCTTTGAGATACGTGTCACGTGTAGGGACACATGTCGGTTACCGACCCAACGTGTGTCAGCCTTGGGTTTATCTTTTGGAAAACGTCCCTGAATTCACAGAAGATCGCGTCTATGACAATGATGGAACCTCCCGGTAGGACTCAGATATGATCAGCTTTCCCCAGACGAGTTGCTTGAGAATGTCAGCAACCTGCTCTCCCATCCCGCGTTTCGACCTCAGCCAGGCCAGACTCTCATGGCATTCGAGAACTTGGCAGACTGCGCGTGCGGTGCGACAGCTCCGACAGCAGTCGACCGGTACGTGTGTCTGCAGTACATGTTTACATGGATTACCCTGACACCCTACTGATCATCATTCATGTTTGTCCTCCCAGACCAGCCAATGGCTTAAACAATTTCATTGGACAGGGCACAGGAGATTGATTGATTGATTGATTGATTGATTGATTGATTGATTGATTGATTGATTGATTGACGGTGATTGATTGATTGATTGATTGATTGATTGATTGATTAGGTAGATAGACAGACAGACAGACAGACAGACAGATAGAGAGAGAGAGAGAGAGAGATAGAGAGAGAGAGATAGATGGATGGATGGATGGATGGATGGATGGATGGATGGATAGATGATCGATAGATAGGTAGATAGATAGATAGATAGGTAGATAGATAGATGGATAGATAGATGAGAGAGAGAGAGAGAGACACGCACACACACAGAAGGAGACACAGAGAGCGAGAGCGAGAAAGAGAGAGAGAGAGAGAGGGACTCAGAGCTTCAACCTCAACCTAAACCACCTTTCCGTCCATCAGTTCGCCCTGCCATCCATGCATCGCAACCACCCACCTCTCCCATAGGTTTCCTGTCTTTGAAACTTCTGCCACAGCTTTGTGCGGCACCATGCTAAGCTATTTGATTGAGGATGCAGTTACTTAAAAACAAACTTAAGAGACACAAGTAGCAATACGGAGAGTATGCGTTGTTACCTTGCAAGCAACGGAGTTGAAATGCCAATAACTAGTGAAACTCTTGAGCCTCTGACTTTACTTGGAACTGCTTTGGAAACATGGGTTGCTCGGGGATTTTGCCATAACCGTGCCTCCGTGTAGAAATTTGGCAGTGGTTCTACTTGTTTTTTTTCTCGATCTGAACTAGCCTATCTTGAAAACAAATGATCCAATGATTGAACCAAATCTTTTTGGCACGATGTGATGTCAACGACATAGAAGAAACATGCGGGAACATTTCATTGCTTGCAAAATCTTTGTGGCCCGAAACTAGTCGGTACAAATTTATCTGCGCAATTGTGTCAAAACAAAAAACTCTTTCACAGAGCATTGTTGAAACATGTTCATGCATTGCAGCAGGGTTCCTTTTCCAAACAGCATCCATTGATATTCAAACCGTTTCCCACACATGGCGCGCGTAAACCGTGTGCTCTCGTTGCCTTTCGTTTTGTTTTGTGTCTCATCTTTCTTGGCATCCCGAAGTTTCAGCGGCATTTTTTCCACACAGAAAAGTCAGCACAAGGTGCGGCCAAGTCGGGTTCTGCGAAGAGCAGAGTATAGCACGGTTGCGGGCCTGGGGCCACAGGACGCCTGGGACGCTTTGTGGTGCAAGAGTTGCTAAAAGATCCAAAAGTGGAGGTTCTCGCGCTTACGCGAAATGTGTCCAGAGCTGAGGAATTTCTTCCGGTGGACGATCGCATTACAGTGTTGCCTTGGAAACCTGAAGATGAGGCTGGAGCGGTGTCAGCGCTTTCAAAGGCAGATGCTGCCATTTGGTGCGCCGAGGGTCGGCAAGGGCTTGTGGCTTTGGGCAAAGCCTTCGCATCTCGTGAAACTCGGCCCAGTGGTTCGCCTCGGGTGGTCATGTGTTCCTCTGCGGCAGTGACGCGCCCCACATGGAGTGAAAAACAAAAGTCCCAGTTTTCTGGAGCCGCCGACATCCCCATCGTTCGTTTGAACCCAGGTGGTTTGTTGGATGAGAAACGCGCCACTGAAAAACTGTTGCGGCAGAGTGGTGCCAGCTACACAGTGGCACGGCCTACTGGTCTGAAAGACGACTGGCCAACTGGGCGGCCATTGCTGTCACAGGGAGATGTGGCAGTGGGGCGCACTTCGCGGCAGGACTTGGCCAACTTTTTGGTCCGACTTCTCGATGAACCGAAGGCCACAGGCAAGACCTTTGAGGTCCTCACGGTACCTGGCTACCCCAAACCATTGGAATATGGTGAAGTTTTGGACCGCCTGCGTCCGGATGCTGTTGGTCCTGTGGCCACTGCATGGTCCCGGGTCCGGAGTTGGTTCGGGGGTCAGCAGGCTGCCACTTATGGCGTGTTGCAGCAGCTCTTGCCGGGCGAGGAGCAGAATTCCGCGGGCTTGGCGATGGGTCAGACCTATGAGCAGTATGATAAGAAGGAGGAGGGGCGATTGGGTCCCCGTGGTGCTGAGCGTGTGCCTGAAACTCTTGGCAGCTCTTAGTGTGCTGCCCCATTGCCAGGGTCATCCTCGCACTTTTCCCAATTTTCAAAGAGTGCCCCAACAAACCAGGATAGGGATAATCAAGCAATACCGGATTCAGTTCATGACCCATACATACCCAGACCACACCATCACCACCTCCCGTTGAAGAAGATTTGGCTAATATTTGGTTCTCAATGTGCAAAAGGTGATGGGAAAAACATACCTATCCTGCAACAGCAATGCGGCAACAGTTTTGCAAGACGTTGGGCTGTCACCTTTCCACTTCTTTAAGATCCCTGAGCCGGGAATGCGCGGTTTGACAGTCCGCAAGCACAGATGCCCCAAGCAACATGAAAAAGGGACTGGTTGAGAGCAGCTGAGCTCGAAGTGCCAAGCAGAGTTGACAAGAAATGGGTTTGCAGATGCTTGCCAGGGTCCGTTTTGATTGGCTAGTGAAACCTGTCCTTCTAGGCTTCCAGCTGCAAGACATCTTGCCCATGGTAATGTTGACAGCACCAGCTGGACGCAAAACAATATCGGAGATCCATGGGATACCAGCTTTTGGGTTCATTGTTTCAGCTCACAGATACACACAAACACACACACACACACATGTGCACACACACACACATACAGTCATATGATATATTTGTATATATGTGTGATATATTTATATGTATATATGATAGATAAGAGGTAGAAATAGAGATAGAAATAGAGATCTTGAGCCTTTGCATTTCCTTTCAAACAACTGCCGGGTGCTCAGAAAGATCCAGCGATGGGCCACGTGCTTCCTGATGGACCGTTCCAGTAGGAAGCATCTTTTCACATCGCTGTCGCATGGGAGTCATGTGGGACTTCCACCACCGGGAGTTTTGGCTGTTGACCAATTCACAACTGAACGCTCCGAAGACTTGCAGAAACTGCTGGCAGTGAAGGAGCTGAAGGAGCTGAAGGACGTTCCCTCCGCACGGCAAGCTCGCCGGCGAGCTCGGAGTTGGAGGCTTTTCGGCTTGGCGCGGTGCCGGGGTCCCAAAGCTGGAACCCAGCGCAAGGTGAAACGCCGAAGTTTGCCAAAAGATGGCCATGTGGCAGTTGCAACCAGAATGGCTTCGGAGAAACAACCTGGAGACAACCAGGCTGTCAGAGTAAGAAAGCACTGGAGGAGACCCGCACTTCTTTTACAAGCGCATGCCTGGGCACCCCCTGGAGTTGCGGGTTCTTTGCAATCAAGGTTCCTGGAAACGCATATTTGGCATGCCAAGCGTGCTCATATGGAAAATGTTTGGGGACATCGCCTAGCTTCACGCAACAATGCTTTGGGCACTCGGGCATTGGCCAGGGCGACACGAAGATATTGCTGCGCTCATGACCGAAGTTACATGCAAATCCTGGAGTTGTTTGGGTCTGAGAGTTTGCTGGTGGCTACATTGGGCTCCTGTGGCATAGACAGCCGTTTGCTGCTTGCCAAGGAAGCCCGAGCAGGTCTTCGACGAATACGTGTCATGATGAAAGCATGCGACGGTGATCGGTTGATAGGTCCAGCATACGTGTTGTGGAGTCCCAGCACGATTTCGCAGAGACAACCTGCAGACAAAGAGATTGAAGAAGAGGAGGAGGTCTTGCCATTCGTTCTGGATGTCCTTGGAGAAAATGTTGCAGCAGAACAGGTGCAGGCAAAGGGTCCTGCCGAAGATGTCAAAGCACATCAAGATGTTGAAATGGAAGATGAACGCAAAACACCTGAGATTCCGACTGAGACGGCTTGGAAATTGTGGCTTTGGATCCATCCGGCAGCTGTGGCGGAGGCAGATGAAGATGTCGCTGCTGTCAGGTTCTGCAGCTTTTGTTCGTTTCAATCTATGTAATCCTCTTCCTTCCTCCATCCATCCATCCATCCATCCATCCATCCATCCCTCTCTCCCTCCCTCCCTCTCTGTCTCTCTCTCTGTCTCTCTCTCTGTCTCTCTCTCTGTCTCTCTCTCTGTCTCTCTCTCTGTCTCTCTCTCTGTCTCTCTCTGTCTCTCTCTCTGTCTCTCTCTTTCTCTCTCTCTCTCTCTTTCTCTCTCTCTCTCTCTCTTTCTCTCTCTTTCTCTCTCTGTCTCTCTCTCTCTCTCTCTTTCTCTCTCTTTCTCTCTCTTTCTCTCTTTTTCTCTCTCTTTCTTTCTCTCTCTCTCTCTCTCTCGTTTGGTTGGCATTCGCACGTATGTGTGTACACCTGAATCCTTGTAGTGTGTGAGCCAAGCCTTTATGATCAACATGATTCATCATGATATGTATAGCGTGAAACCTTCCCAAATCAGCAGGCCATTGCAAGCTTGAACCGGGCCAAGGCCTCGGTGATGCTGAAACAATAGCCCGAACAACCTTTTCTCAAAATGGTGGTGCCACTTTCCAGCTGAGGCAGAACAACTGCGAAGCCAAAAAGATGAGCAACGCCGACTCTTTTCGGCAGCATCTGTCGACATTGAGATTATAAAACTCCGGCTACAAGAGTCCGGGCAACCCTTTCGTTTGTGGTCAACCGAGTGTTTGATGTATTTGAAAGATGTGTTTCCTTCTGCATCCCTTGGCTGAGACAAACCTTTCACATGAGCCAGGCTCCTGCGAGTCACCACCCCCTCACAGCCCTGCTTCTTGGAGCTGATGGGCCCCAAAGCCATCGAGGTGGGGGTTCATACCACAGGAGAGGTCTGAAACATTCTGAAACCATCTGGAACAGACTGGATCAGATGAAAACGGCCTGCCTTCTGCAACACTTCCAGTTTTTTTGAGTTTGAGATGAGGCTGTTGGGTTGTGTTTCGCATGTTTGTGCCCAGGTACTTGGCAGAGCTATTCCACCAGAGGCTTGACCCGTGGAGGGAAAACTTATCTCGGGGTAGAGTGCACGCATAGTCCAGGCCATTTCTTTTTGTGACATGACCACTTCGATTCCAGCTGTGGCTTGTGCCGAAGCCTCCAGTGGGCTAAAGGCGTGTCGCAGCTCTGCAGCTAGGGACTTGTGGCACGAGGTGTGGTTCAGCTTGGTTTCACTTTGCCTCCAATTCTGGGAGAAGAATCTCAGCAGAACATTCCAATTTCATCCAATTTCAGCAGGTTTTTCACTGAGTTTTGTCGATTTCTGTGAATTTCAGTGCTCATTTTCAGGTAGTGCTGGCCAGTCATGGCCAGCGGTTGACGCCTCCTCCCGGGGCCGTTCTTACCCTGGAGGTGCAGGAATCTGCACTGATACCATGCAGCCTGGAACTTATTCTGCACAATTCCCTAGCGGGCGAATCCTTTCTCAAGTTCTAAGGCACAAAACTGGTGGCGCCGGCAGCAGTGCAGCTGGAAACCCAACTTCCACCCGTTCCACCACTCCGGATGTGGGCTTTTCCGCTGTCAGCCGAGGCAAGCGAAGCAACCATGGCCCCAGCCCTAGCAGGGCCGCTGCAGAGCGGTGCTGGATAAGGTGTCACATATTTCTATATATATATATACACACGCTAGATAATTAAATATATAAATAGAATAAATAAGTAAATAAATAAATAAATGAATAAATAAATAACTGAATAAATAAATAAATAAATAATAAATAAATAAATTAATGAATAAATAAATAAGTAAATTATATATATATATATACACACTTCCGTATGTTATGAGCGTATGTATATATATATATATAGACATATATAGATGTTCAAAGTCGGCATATTTTTCTTGCTTGGTTTGTGGGATCAGCGGGATCTTTACTTCTGGTCTGGTCCAAGGCTAGCCCGGTGGCCGGCGGACGCAGTCGGATGCAGCCCAGACCTGAGTGAAGAGTCCCGGCAGTTTGATTGAGATTTTTAACCACAAAAAATGGATAAAATTGGTTCATTTCACCAACAAAATTGGGTTTAAATTTGTTTTAACCACTTATAATGAGGGTCTGATTGGTAAATGAGGCCGGATTTGGGCAGACGGAGAGACTTCAGAGGAGATTTCTGGGTTGGCAACAGTTGAAATTCCAACTGCTGAGCCTCAGCACTGCCTCAAAACTGACACACCTGACATACCTGTGAAGTTCCTTGAAGGATGGCTATGTTTGCGTGGTCTTGGTCTTTCGACCTGGTGGCAAACTAGCAGATGCAGCAGGTGGTGTGGATGTTCTTTCAGCGCCAGGTGGGAAATTGCCAAAAGCCAAGCCTGTTTCAGCGCAGCATATGATGTCTTTAGCCACCTTGCCGCAGGTGTGCATCGAAAGCTGTGGCTGGACTCTTAGCTGAGAATGCCAAAGTAGCGGTCCATAGATCCGTCTTGATTGCCAAGGTTGCGCTGTCACTTTGCTGGTGCAAGAGGGATGGGCTTCCGTGATCGGCACTACTTGCTAGCTGATGCTGGCCTGTGCGGGCACCAAGAGCATCTTATGACGCTGTGAACTAGAGCCTCTGAAAACTCACCTTGCGGGTTTGTGGAACCCTCTTTTGATCCCCTGAAGATTGGAACCTGGTTCTTGATGTTCATGCGGTGTGAGCTTCAAGCTTGCTTCCATGAGGCCTGAATTCCCACAAGATTTCCCAGACACACAAGCGGGTCAACAAGAAGCAGCGTCTCAGGCAAGGCTTTGTCCAGTTTCGGAATCAAGTTGCCATCAAGATCATCTCTTTGTCATGACAGCCAGGCTGCTGACTCCCTGCGACGCTTTGAGCGGCGACTTCCCAAGAAGAGGCCCAACTTCGGAGTGTTCAAACCTCGGCCCCCAGGTGGCCCAGGTGGCTCAGGCGGTTCAGGTGGCCCAGGTGGCCCAGGTCGAGTTGGCACCTCTAAGGCTGGGCATTGCTGCCCCTCATGGACCTGACTGGGGCTGCAGCCTTGGACGTATGGGATGGTTAGATCAAAAGATGCAGTTGCGAATGAAAGAAGGGAGATGATCAGTTTTTTATTCGCAGGTTCCCTGTCAGCGGTTTGTGATCCAACAGGGAGGCTGGGAGAGAGATGATGCACCTGCGCAGCCATCAAAACCAAGCACTTCTTTGATTTTCTTTGCATTTGAAGCTTTTGGACACCATTATTTGTTGGATTTTTCCCAGTGCCTAGTCAGCAGCTTGGTGACTCAATTCGAGGCCAACCATTTGTAGGCCAAGCCAACTGCAACTCCTCACGCGAAGGTCGGGAACCCAGTAGAGGACGTCGGTGTTGCTTCAACGTCTTGCCGGCACATGGCGAAACTTTGCAGTTGTAGCATGCTAAGCCAAGGCATTGCTTCTATTCGCAACCAGGCCCGTTTTTTTATCGTGTTTTTTTTTCCGTTCCCGGGTTCCCACACTGCCTACGGGCCTACCTCCACAAAATTAGATGAACCCAGACCATCCAGAAATGAAGTTGGCGCGAAGGGCTGCTGCCTGTGAGGGTGCTCTCATTGGGCCGTGGCGTTCCGAGAGGCTGGACAGATACGGGGGTGTTCCAGATGCCAGCGCAAGGGGCGGGCTCCCAGAGGTGGTTGCCATCTCTACCGTCCTGCAGCTTCCGACTTCGAGCAGGTGAAACCCAGAGGCACGGTGGATCACATCAATCCATATCAATCCATGTCAATCCTCCATGGTTCTCGCGGCTTATCCACTTTCAGCAGGGTTGAGCAAAGCCATGGCCGCCATGGCCATTGTAGCAGGCCAGCCAAGCAAGGGAGGTGCGGGTGGAGCTCGAGCGCATCTCGTCAGTGTGAGCTGTCCTTCACCCGCCTCAGAGACACCAACCCTGGAGGACTCAGCCAGCATTTGTTGATTTGTTGGGTGGGCACTGCGGGCCATTGACATGTGAGTGAGCTCGCATGAGATGGACATGTTGGATTTGGATTTGCGACTTGTGATGCCTGCGTTCTGCAATTTTAGGTATAAAATGAGGGTGCAAACGCATGCTGATGAGTGTGTAGACAACCTCTCAAATACTGTTTCTTTGCATTGCCAAAGCACACATGCGAATGCCCTACTATTCCTGATGAATCTGTTGCAAGGGGAGGTAGCACTGACATTAAAACTAGTCATACCTAAGGGACACAAATCACCAACACAGTGCTTAGCGTAGCCGACACATTTTTTGGCCATGCCGCCGTACAAGCCGCTCTTCATCGGCGCATCGGACAATTTGGTGGCATGTCCAGTGTCGCAACGTGGAATGGACGTTCCTTGATTCAACATTCATGGATGGGCGTCACATGATATGGGATAACCATGGATAACCATGGATAAGATCATTTTATCTCATTTTCTTGACCCAAGATGCCCCGAACGATGTGCGATTTTTTCTTTTCGCCATTGCCATCAAAACCTTGGCACTTCCCAAGGCTTTCGATGCTTCTTTGGCCTCACGTAGTGCTGAGAAGCAGATGCTGCGAGAAGCCCCACCAGCTGAGCTGGCTGAAAAGCTTTTGCATCACTTTAGTGCCTTCCAGGTGCAGAATGCACTGGGTATGCTGTGCATTTTGAAACTGGATATATATATATATGTATATGATATTATATAATATTATAAGTGGATGATGCAGCTCATGTCTTGTGCAGTCCTAGATTCAAATGGAGCCAGTCACAGAGTCACAGGATCTGAAGAGCTGACTTGCAGGTCAAGGCAAAAGCAGTTCACGAACAAGTGGAATCGATGCGGATTACAGTGGAGCCTTTGCAAATGATCCCAAGATATCTCAAGATATCTCAAGATATCCCAGGTGATTTAAGGTCCTGCCTGCAGCTTTGAGCCTTTGAGCGGTGTGATGGCAGTTCCCTGTTTTGCAACGTTGTAACGTTGACTCAGGACACAGCCTATGTGCAAGACATGCTGCTGGACTATGCTTCTGGCATTGCCTCGGAGATCAGCAAAGCCCGTGACAAGCTACGGAAGAGCGGTGGGAACATGACTGACAGCGCGCAGGATGAAACCTGGCTGAAGCTGTCAAAATTTGTTCGTGTTGCCAATACTTCACCTGTTGCGGCTTGAGTTGTAGATGGCATTTTAAGTGTTTGGTGTTTAGAGAGAAGTAAACAAGTAACCAAGTAAACATAAGATTTCAGTACTGTAGTAGCCTGATTATGGATATAATTTCAGATGCACTAATGTGGAGAAAAACGTGAATAATTACGCACATGTCTGTCTGTCGGTCTCTCTCTCTCTCGACATTTAAGATGCGTGTATCAGTGTGATATAATGATGTATTCTAATACGTGCGCATATGATCACATATCCATGGGTAGGATTTTTCAGCAACTGAGGACCAGCTCTCATTCTGCCTGGCGGTCATCGAGCTGATCACCGAAACGATGCTGAATCCATCCGCTGTTGCACCAGGTTTGCTCCGGTGGTATAGCCGCCACTACTTGGAAGGCCATTGTGACAGTGGCAGCCACACAGTGGCCTGGGCATTCTGATATGT